TTTTGCATCTTTTGAGACCAATAACACCCCCACATGGATACTTGATAGTAGGGCATTGCATCATGTCACCCCAGATTTGAATAATTTTTTACTTCATACTCTTTATACAAGGTCCGATGATGTTATAATCAGTGATGGCTCGGGTTTTCACATTAACCATATCGGTTCTACCACTCTTTCTACCTATTGGCACATTTTAATTTACATAATGTCATTTACAGACCTAATATGAAAAAAAAATCTTATTTCTATATATCAATTTTGCAATACTAATCATATTTATATAGAATTATTACCTACTATCTTTTATGTAAAAGACCTTAGCACGGGGGTAATTCTTTTGACAAGAAACACTAAATATGGCGTCTATGAGTGGTGAAATTGTCTTCTCTACTTGTTGCCTTCTCTAGCGTTAAGACCACTTCTTATGAGTAACACTCAAGATTAAGTCATCCATTCGCATTTATTCTTCAACATATTATGTCAACATTCTCTTTACCTTATTATACATTACAAAACACTCATTGTAATATGTGTGTAAGTACCAAGAGTCATAAACTTCCTTTTTTTTATATCTATAATTATTTTATCTCACCCCTTACAAATAATATTTTTTGATGTTTGGATCTCACCTGTTTATTCCGTTGATAATTTCAAGTATTATGTTATCTTTGTTGATTATTTTATATGTTATGTATGATATTTACTTATTAAATTTTTTTTTTATCCTTGTGATATCTTTCTTTATTTTAAAACACAAGTAGAAAATTACTTCAAACATTCGATTATCACTCTGTACTCTGATAATGGCGGGGATCAATTTTTATCCCTTCATAGAATCACTCATCTCATCTCTCACCCACATACACCTGAACATAATGGTCTCTTTGAACACCGACGTGACATATTGTTGAAATCAGTCTGTTTCTACTTACTCATGCCTCAGTTCCACTCACATAATAGAACTATGCTTTTGCAACCGCTGTATATCTCATTAATTTCATGCCCATACCCATACTTTCCCTTTATTCTCTTTATGAGTCTTTGTTATGTTCTCTACCAAACTACATAAAACTTCGTAGCTTTAGTTGTTTATGTTATCCACAGCATCGTCTAGACTCTAGTCACAAACTTGAGTTTCGATCATTCCTTTGTGTGTTTGTTAGGTACTCTTTTACTAAAATGCCTATCTCTATCTCAATCCTCTAACTTCTAAAATCTACACATCTTGTCATGTCAAATTTTTAAAATTTATCTTCCTATTCAAATTTGTTTAAAGTCATTTTAGTCGTCCAAATCCAGAAACACTCCCAGTTTGGTTTCCATCAGTGCTATTTCTTCTTACTAAGGGTGCGCCACTCAACATGCAGCCTTGCCCCCATACTCAAATCCATCTCTCAACCAATCTCCGATTAACCATTCCACATCCTCCATACATAGCACACCCTCCGAACTCCACGTCCTATACCTGAATCCCCACTTGCTCTTAGCCAAAATTCGGTTGACCGAGCCCAATTATCCCAATCAACTAGAACATTCTGCCGACACCAACAATAACTCACACAATCCACCATCTTATTCCTTATCTCCCTCTCTAAACCCCCTTCCTCCAAACCCATCTACCAATACTCACACTATGACCACATGTGCTAAAATAAAATTCATAAACTCATATCGTTACTATCACCTCAGACCATCAACTTGAGCCATACACATTGACCCAAGCTTTCAAAGATCCTAAATGGTGCTGGGCTATGTTTGAGGAGTATGATGTTCGTGTGGAATGGAACATGAGAACTTGTCTCACCTGATTTAACACAAAATCATGTTGGTTGTAAATGAATTTTTAGAATTAAACATTTACCTAATGGCTCAATCGATAGGTATAAAGCTCGACTAGTTGCTAATCAATATCCTAGTGTTGATTATCATGACACATTTAGTCTGGTTGTCAAGCCTACCACTATTCGCTTGGTTCTTAGTCTTACTATTAGTCGTGGGTGGTCTCTTCGTCTACTTGATGTCAACAATGCATTTCTACAAAGCCATCTCTTTAAAGATGTTTTCATGACACAACCATTAGGTTTTCTTGATCGTGATAATCTTATGCAAGGATATATATGGTCTCAAATAAGTACTATGAGCCTAATACAATGAGTTAAGACATTTTTTTTGTCGCCTCTAGGTATACAAACTCTCATGCAAACATATCACTCTTTTTTCTGAACACCAATTATACTCTACTCTATCTCATTATGTATGTTGATGATGTAATTATTACTGAAAATAATGCCATTGCAATTCAACAATTTATTGATATTCTTGACAAAAGATTTTTTATCAAAGATCTTGGTGATTTAACTTACTTTTTTGGTGTTGATGTTACAACTACTTCCATTGGTTTATTTTTTTCTTAGCGGAAGTATATTATAGATCTTCTCGTTTACACAATTATAACAGGAGATAAATCCGTCACCACTCCATTTGCCATCGAGCCAACACTTACAGTTCTGTCTAGCATTGCTTTGACTGATCCTTATGAATACAGAGTAGTCATTAGAAGTCTTCCGTACTTATGTCCCACTCGCCTTGATACTACATATGCTGTTAATAAGTTGTCTCAATTCATGCATTGACCTACTACTGATCATTGCTATCAACTGTTTGGTTCACTATCTTTCTGGTACAGTTGATCATGGTCTTGTCTTGCACTGTCATACATCTCTATCTCTTCATGTCTTCTTAGATGCTAACTAAAACTGGTAATAAGAAGGACTACATCTCCACCAGTGCTTATATTGTTTACTTCAGTTGCAATCCCATATCCTGGTCCTCAAAGAAACAACGCATAGTTGCACGATCCTCTATTGAAGCTGAATATCATTTTGTTGCTGCTACAATTGCTGAGTTACGTTGGATTTATTCTCTTCTAACTGAATTTGACATTTATATTCATGTTGCTCTGGCTATCTATTGTGACAATGTTGGTGCAACTCATTTTTGTTCTAATCTTGTCTTCCATTCACGAATGAAGCATGTTCTGATTGATTATCATTTTATTCGAGATCAAGTCCAAAGTGGAGCTTTACGTGTCACTCATGTGTCATCAAAAGATCAATTAGCAAATGTCTTAACCAAATCTCTTTCACACACTCGCTTTCAACTTTTAAAGATCAAAATTAGACTCTTCGCAGGAGCTCCATTTTGAGGGGGCATATTAAAAGAATTAATTATGTAATTACTATCAATCAAATTAAGTGATTGATTAGAATTAGAATAGTTGATTTACCGTTGATTAAGATTGTACATGTATGTACATATATATATATATGCCTCATCTTTATTCAATTGAAATTAAGCCATTATCTTCAATTTCATAATTTAATTGGATATTACATTTATATCCCTAAATTAAGGGCCTCTCTTTTTATAAATAAAATAAAATATATATAAATTAAGCAACAATTGAAACAGAAGAATAGTATCTAATCTGCCAATATCATTATGACTTGTAACGATGACAAAACCCTTGTTAATTAATACGAGTTGTCGTGTTAGTAAGATCTGTTCATAGGGTGATGCAACCAGGAGGAAGTTTTAGAAATTAAAATGAAAAATGGAACCGATATATAATTTTTTAATCAAAAAAAAAAAAAACTGATGTCATATATCGTATAAAAAATTTAAGCAATACCGTAAGTATACATTAATATTTTTGAAATATATAATATTAAAATTCTAAAATGTTAAATCTTAAAATTTTTGGTCACTTCCCATTGTGAAAATTTCAACTGAGTAGGAACTGATTAATTACATTCCCTGGAACTGAAAAAAAATCACTTCAAATTAATTAACCAAGCTGATTTAAAAAATTGGTTGTCTTGAATAGTTTTAAGCAATATTCCACACCCTTTATAGTATATATACATATTATAACCTCGTGTTTCTAGTAGCTGGGAAATCTGAAGTGATGCTTAGTGGATTGCTTCGGAGACCGCTTGCTGTTATTTTACTTTCCCCCCTTATGCTTCTGTCCTTGTGTATTTTGTATAATTAATATTTGTTTAACAGAGGCATGAATAATAAGTAATGAACAGGAGAGATTTTTATATGACTCTTGTAAGAGTGTCTTTTCAGACCGCTCCTACAAATTTCCTAAACCACTGCCTCCCGCATCAAACAGCTGCAGGCTTCCCGTCTTTTCTGGGGTCACTAACTCCAGTAAGGGTTCCATGCAGAACCTGAGCATTATTAGACTCTTTTCCAATCCTACGACTCGTACTAGTAACTGGTTTTTGGAAATCTTGAACAATCAGTTGAACAATGGCTCCTCCTGCCCTGGCTTCGAGTTTATGGTGTCTAGCTTTCAAGAATATCTTTGTCTCGTTGTCAAGCTCGATATGATCACCATCAATCACAGTCCAGTTCTCGTACAAGACGACATTTGGAATTAGCTGCATAATAAGTAAAACATCATATTAGCGTAATTCCCTTTTTAGCAATTGGTTATATGCATGTGTCCGTCTGTTAGAAACAGGTCAATAACCTGGTGGTACACTCTGGGATGCTGAACCGCGGCTAGAGGCTTCATTCCCATAATGAAATGGTTAAGAAAGACTTGAACTACCGCAGGAATAATGTGCATTCCTCCACTACCACCAACAACTCCAACCAATTGGTCATTCTGCCAAGTAATCATAACAAAGTAAACAATTGAACCTTCCCAGAACCTGGCACTAAAAGCGAAGAAGTAGAAGCATGTGATTAGTATACCTTGGTGATTATGAGGGGAGTCATGGAAGATAATGGTCTTTTGTTTGGCCTGATAAAATTGGCTGGAGCTGGAGGGAGCAAATCGGGTGATTTCTCTGTGGGTATTGAGAAGTCCCCCATCTCATTGTTGAGCACAATACCAGTGTTAGGAGAGAGCACCCCAGCTCCAAAGACAAAATTTACAGTTGATGTTATCGATACAGCATTACGATCTGAGTCTACAACACACAAATGACTGGTTCCATGGTCTCTAAGCTGGCTCCATCTGGTGATAACAAAAACCTGGTATGTTTGTTCTCATTCTTCCCATAAACAAGAGTATCAATTCTATTGAGCACAAAGGTAGATGAAGTGAAGGAGCATATTATACCTGGGAAGATAGTAGTCTGGAGGAAAAGTAGTGTCATCAAATATCTTTTGCTGAATTTGCTTGGCAAAAGCTGGGGATAGCATTTTGCGGATATACTCGATTATGTCCACAAAATCAGGGTCACCTAGATTCATCCGAACAGCAAACATGTGTTTCATTGCTTCAATCAAGCGATGTAGGCCAAGACTTCTATTGGCAGCATAGAAACTTCCATAACTATTCAAAATGTTTACTACCTGTTTAAGGACATCCATGTTTAGATAAATGAACTCACGAGGTTCCAACATAATTAATAGAATGCAACTCAAGATTTATTTATCTAGATTCCTAATCTTGCAGTAGAATAGAGAGAGGCAATTTCATCAAAACAACATTAATCATGCAGTTTTGTAGTATGAACTGACGGTATAAATCTGGTATAATAATGAAAAAGATATACGAGGGAAAAAGATGCCCACCAAAGACAGCCCAAGCGTTCCACTTGAAGGAGGTGGCATTCCTGAGATAGAGTAGCCCATCACATTAGTAGTAACTGCATCTGTAACTTTTACCTGGTAATTCCTCAAATCATCCATTGTTAAAATCCCACCAGCCTCCTTCACATCCCTCACTAATCTCTCACCAATGGTCCCGTTGTAAAAGACCTGAGGCCCTTGTTCTGCCACTGCATCTAGACTCCCAGCTAGTTCCGGATTGTAGCATATGTCACCTATTTGTAACAACTCCCCCTTTGGTGCAAACACTCGGCTCAAACCAGGGTCATTCATGATCATATCTGCAAACTGAGATATATGTAAACCAAGATAAGGAGCAATCTCAAAACCTCCTCTCGCAAGTTTGATGGCAGGTTGGAACAAGGTCCTCCAAGCCAAACGTCCATACTGCAACCAAGCTTCATGAAGGCCAGCTATCTCACCAGGAACTGCCATTGACAATGCACCAACATATTTGGCCGTGAGGTTACTCCCGTACATATTCTGTTTGTTATTACAACAATCAAGAGAAGCAGTTAATTTCAGATGATTTAGATATTGGGCATTAATCATAGGTCTCACAGAATTGGATCCAATTTTAACACTGAACCAGCTTGATAGAACTAGCAGCAATTTTTGTACTAGCTATTTCTTTGGTTAAAAAGTAGGGGCAAAGAAGCATTTTAGCAATAGGAAAAGAGAAGTCTGAACCTCTGAAGCAGCTAAGGGAGCAGTTTCCCTCATGTCAAAAGCTTGAGTCTTTGAAGTTGATGAAGACCTGACAATCATGAAAGCTCCACCTCCTATTCCACTTGCCATTGGATTAACAACGCCAAGACAGAGTGCAGTTGCCACAGCAGCATCAACAGCATGTCCACCTTGTCTAAGCATGGATGCACCAATTTCAGAACACCGACCATCATCCGCAGCAACAACACCTCGTTCGGACTCAACAATGTCACTCAAATTGTGATTGATCCTCCCATTTTGTTTCTTTTCTTGGCTCAGTATGCACCTAGCTATATTCTCTCTAAAAGCAACACCTACAACTGAAAAATAAACAACCTCAAATTCCATAATAACGCAAAGGGCTTATCACAAAATATTGTTAGTTAGAAATATTATCTGTATCTGAAGGCTGCCATACTCACCATATTCCGATCCTTGATTAAAAAAATACTAAATAATCTCACCCGTTTCTTCTCTGCTAGGTTGTTAACTTTACTTTTTCCACGGTGACAATATCTCCTAAATTTCCCTTCCCCAATACTTGAAAAAGAGTGAGAGGATTCTGTATTTATCTTTTCTTCACTTAATCAAAATTCAATTGAAAGTTTCTCTCTCTTCCAGAGTCAATAAAATGAAACAGATACGATAAAGAGCAATGGAGTATCAGAAGTAATAAAACTTTGCCAGGCTTTTCAAATTAAGTCGTTATGATCACAAGTTTCTTCATTACCTTATTGGTAAGAGATGTCACAGGTTTATGTTTGTTGTGCACCCGAGTACCAATTCACAGAAAAAAAAGTTAACTGAGCATAGAAAACCCAGAGTAACAACACAAATTAACTGAAACCTGAAAACAGTGATTGAGTATTCGCAGAAATCGAAAAAAAATCAGTCGGCGAGTGGAAGAAGAAGAAGAAGAAACTGACTTGAGACTATTAGCAAAACAAGAAGCAACCCCAGAGCTCTGCTCCAGGTGTTCTTCTTCTCCTTCCTCTCATCACTCCCCATAAGTGGGGCTTGAAGTCTGAGCTTCGCCATGCCCCGTCTCCCCTTCCTTTCTCCCACTCAAAACAGATAACAAGAAGACGGACGGAATAATTGGAGAATGGCATTGGTTTTCTCAGTAGTATTTATAGAATCTACAAACAGAAATGAGAGCAGGTATTCCTTTCTAAAACCAGACAGATTCCTTATAATTGAATCAACTGTTTTTCTACTCCTCACCAATCATCTTCTGCCACGTCAGTACGTTTTCAACAATAAAAATCTTGATTTTTACGTCCCAATTTTTTTTTGGTACCAGAAGGGTAGAATAGTAAAAAAAGAAAAAATAAAAACTTGTAGTAGTTGCACAGGTAGTTGAATGAAAAAGACAACGTGCAAATTGTGCTACTTTCTCACAAAATTAGAGTTTTGACACTATCGTAATTAGCTTTTGGATTATTAATTTTGTATATTTTTAATTAAAAAATTATATTATCTTTTGTGTGTAATATTATTAATTAACTAACAACTAATTTTAATCTTCCTTTTAAATTATATATTTAAAAACCCAAATAAAAAAAAAACACAAAAAACACGATAATTTCATTTGTCATTCTTTCATTAATTATATAAATCACATCATTTAAACAGACTATTTGTAATAATCAAAGGATATTTCACTTAGTCTAGGCAATATTTATATGAAAAATATGAAACAAAGGAAAATCGACAATTTCATCAACCTTTTTTTCATTATTTATATGAATCCCATCATAAAGTAGTAATATCCAACATTAACTAAATGTAAATTATGTATAAAAATATTTTAAAAGTGTAATGACTCCGTAAATATTTAAAAAAAATAAATGATAATTAAAGTACGGAAGTAAAATAAATGTTCAAAATTTACATTTTTAACATAATAATTTAAAATACCAACTAATTTTACAAAATTCACTATTTTAAAAGAAATATAAAAAAATAAGAAAATGAACAGAAAATAAAGAAAACTAGCATTCTACTCGCAACTCTCTTGCGGATCGGGCTCTGAATCCTGTTCCTCTTGATATGAAATGATTAAATAAAGGGATGAACTGTACTATCCCAGTAAGAATATCACGTTATATCACCGACACAGAAATGAAGGTTGGTAGAAACAAAAAAAATAAAAAACAACTAATAGAGCACTAAATTAAGCAAATTCATTTATTAATAATAAAATCATTTACCGTCCACTTACCGTAGTGAGATTTATAGAAAATAATCTACAGAAAACAATAACATTATATATATTATGATTCCATATGCAATTGGTAACAAGTACACATTATAAATCAATATTCAATAAATCAAACAACAACCTTTCATTTTATCGGCCTACTGGTATTCATAGGGATTCATAGGGATGTTCCCGCTACGCGTGAACCATTTCTTTCAACATTCGCAATTAAAGGGTCGCCCCATATCCTGTCCAGTATGAACGCCAAACTATTAGACTTCACTAACCCATCCGGTATGAGAATGAAACGGGCCGTCCCCATACCCCGTCCGGTATGAGCGCAAAATTACAAAGTCTCGATACCCTATTCGATATGAGACAGTGTTCACGGTAGGGTTCCCTATTGTACCCGGTCCGTCCACCATCTCCTAGAATATCCAGTAAGACTGTCGTTTCATCCATTCACTTAATCACACAATTTTTCGTTTTTCTTTAGTCTCCATTTTCCAAATCAACCGTAATCACATAAACAAACAAACATGTATCAGGGAATGCAATCATATCTCAATTTTCTAATTTAACAGTAGTCACGTAAGGCAGCAATACATGCATTCAAACCATAAAATTGATAAATCAGATACTATCATGCATTTAAAATGTAAGATAAATCAACAGGAATCAATAGAGAACAATTTCTGATTCTGACTCCATTAATAACCCGTAATTAATTATAGATATTTTCTAAGTTTCACGAAATACCATATTATTTAAAATTAAACTTCAATTCCATAACAAAGGATAGAGTGAGAGATTCTTACTCAATTTGATACCCGAAAGGCTAAATTGTTGACTGTACCCACTCGCAGTTCTTAAGTTCCCTGACTTTTTCTTCGAGAATCAAAACATGCTATAAGTACCTAAAAATGTCCCAAAAAAATCCTAAATCAGTCTCAGGATCCATTTTGGCCAATTTTGGGATTCCGATACGGCGGCTCCGTCGTGCTCCGGCAATGCCGGTCCGCCTCGGATAAGTTATTTTCGGCCGATTTTGCATCAATCCCTATGAGAAAACATGTTAAAGGGGCATCGGTTGGCCCGAAAAAATACAAGAACGTGAAACTCACCGGCAGCGGGGCTTTTCGGTGCGGCGGCTCCTTCGGTTTACATTGCGGTTGGGTGTTTGCTCTGGTCAACCTGTAGAGAAGAAAACGGTGATCACAATGGTGGAATAATTACGCAGAATGGGAATCAGGAAGGGTCTCATTGGAGGCATTTTGTAGAATTTCTCGTGGCGTTGCCGCCGGGCTTTGCCCACATTTTTCGGCCAATCGACCGGTCCTTTTACTCCAATTTGGCCATGGGTTGTTTAAAATTGAATTCTGAGCAAAGAATTTTTTTTTTACCTCTTTTAGCGATTGAAAAGGGCTCCGACGTGGCGGCGGGTGGCGGCGGTCTCCTTCCCGGCGGCTGGGTCTTCTTCTCTAGCGAGGGGGTCTGACGGTTAGGGTTAGGATTTGGTGTGGATGTGGGTTATTTATCTCCGTTCTCTTTTGATCTAGGTCGTCCATCGCATTTGATTTGTATCGTCCAATCACGATTAAATAGGGAGTGAATCTAAACAGTTTATCGCGATCCAATCTGGACCGTTCATCGTGATCTAATTTAGGCCGTCCGATCACATTTGGGGAGGGAACGCATATGGGTCGTTTGTGCATGCGAGAACGGATTTGAGCCATTCGATTATGGGCACGCGGATCGTCCGCATGGCACCACGTCAACATCTGCTACCACGCGGTGCGTTCTAGTTCGTCAAGCCTGCTGACCGGGCATCCTATGTGGTAAAACTTTCTCTAAATTATATTTTGACCATCGGTTTTCGATTTTTCTTTCAAAAATACTCCCAAAACCCAAATTTTCACCAATTTTTCTCAAAATTATTTTCAATTTAATCATCCATCAATTTTACTTCATTTTTTACTCTAAATTAAAATTAAAAATTGAAAAATTAAGAAATTATATTTATAAATAAATCTTAAATTATATTAAAAATTAATTTAGGATATTACAATTCTTCCCTCCCCTTAAAAAAATTTTGGTCCTTCAAATTTGTCTCTCTCACTCTCAATCAAACAGCTGGGGATATTTTGCTCTGAAGTCTGATTATAGCTCCCATGTGGCCTCTCTCGGTGTGTGATTCTGCCATAGGATCTTAACAAAGGGAATTTTCTGGTTGCGGAGTAATTTGCTCTTTCGGTCCACAATGCCGACCGGTACTTCTTCGTAGGGCAGATCCTCCTAGAGTGCAAGAGGCTCGTGGGCCAAGACATGAGAGGAGTTCGAGTTGTACTTGCATAACATGGACACATAAAACACATTATGGATCCTGAAAATTTCTGGAGGCAATGTCAGTCTGTAGACGGTGGTACCAATTCTGTTTAAGATTTCAAATAGTCGAATATATCGGGAATCCAGTTTCTCCCTCTTGCTGAACCTATTGATTTCCTTGAAAGGAGTAACTTTAAGGAACACCCGATCGCCTTTCTCAAATTCCAAGTCCCTCCTCCGGGTGTCCGCATAACTCTTCTGTCTGCTCTGAGCCGTATGAATGTTCTTCCTGATCTTAGCTATTTTGGTTGTAGTCTCCTTTACGAGATCTGAGCCGAACAGTTTTCTATCACCCACTTTTTTCCAACATATCAGCGATCTGCATGGGTGGTCATACAACGCCTTATATGGAGCCATGCCAATACTTGCTTACTAGTTATTGTTGTAGGCGAATTCTATCAGAGGTAGAGGGTCATCCCAATAATCGCTGAAGTCAAAAACATAAGTTCGGAGTATATTCTCAAGTGTGCAGATTGTCATTTCTGACTGCCAATCGGTTTGAGAGTGGAATACAGTACTAAGGAACGGTTTTGTCCCTATGGCTTGCTGAAGGCTAGACCAAAACCGAAAAGTGAACCTGGGGTCCCTGTCAGACACGACTGCCACTGGCACTCCATGTAATCTGACTATTTTTCGAATATATATTCTTGCCAACTTGTTCAAGGGATCGGTTATCCTGATGGCCAAGAAGTGGGAAGACTTAGTAAGCCGGTCAATAATTACCTATATGGCATCATATCCTGAGCGTACCTTAGGTAATCTTATCACAAAGTCTATGTTGATATATTCCCACTTCCACTTCCGAATTGGTAATAGCTGAAGTAGCCCACCTGGGCGTGGTGCTCTGCCTTGACCTGTTGACATACCAAACAGTTAAAAACAAAGTCAATTATATCTCTTTTCATCTTGTTCTACCAAAATTGAGGTCGCATATTTTGGTACATCTTAGTTCTTCCGGGATGCATGACAAATTTTGAGTTATAGACCTCTGTTATAATGTCCCTTTTTAACTCACTGTCACCCAGAACACACACTCTTTCTTGGAATCTGAGCAACCCATCGGTAGAGACTTAGAATTCTGAGTTAACTCCCTGTTCTCCATCTTTCTTGAGGGTTGCTAGGGTGGGATCGGCGGACTGAACTTCCCTTATTCTCTGGATTAACCCAAGCTGAACAGTCAGGTGGCCCAAACATGTGACTCTTTTCAGATCCTGAAACCATACCTGTTGTGCGACCCCTATCTGCCTACATTCTGAAACTATCAAATTGGATAATGTACCTGCACTTTTTCTACTGAGTGCGTCGGCTACCACGTTACCCTTACCCGGGTGATACAAGATGTCGCAATCATAGTCATTGAGAAGTTCTATCCACTTTCTATGACGCATGTTGAGATCCTTTTAAGTGAATATATGTTTCAAACTCTTGTGATCGGTATTGATCTGAAAGGTCTTCCTATACAAATAATGGCACTAAGTCTTCAAGGCGTGGATGATTGTGGCAAGCTCTAAATCATGGGTGAGATAGTTTTCTCATGC